TTTTTTTCAAAAACTCTAGTTCGATTGCTTCGATTTTCAGTGAAGGAGAAGGTAATGTTCTACTATATAATGGGTTTGTTAATTCGAGTTCATACATATTGTGAAAGTTATGTTCTTCAATATGTTTGGTTTTTGCGATTTGTACTTGTTTATTTACCTTTTCTTTTTTTCTTTTTTTTTTGAAAACGTAATCTATACAACGTTGTGGCGGCTTCTCGTCAAGGCCAATGTTGTCGCCTCTCCTTGTCGTGCACGTTCTCAGATGAACTAGGGCAAAGATATGTTACAGTAGACGAGGGAATTTTGATCGGTGGAGGAGAGGAGCAGAACAAATCGTATATAAGGGTATACAAGTCTTTTGTGTGGTTCATGGCTGACTTAATCAACCAAAGTAAATGTGGGATACGTTTCTGCCAATTCCATCCCGGAAAGTAAACGTTAGACTAAATGATGACGTGTAAAGTTGTCCTGATTATTTACTCTTATCCCATCCCCAGAAGTAAACGAGACCACCGTCTATTGAGTTCTGAAGCAGCTTTTATATCCCTCTCCTTTGAACTATGGCATATCAGTAGTCATAAACTTACTCCTTTTGCAATTTTTTGTCTGAAGTGTTGTGATTATGCGGAAAATCGATTATTCGATTACTATTTGATTCATATGTTAGCCAGCCATTGTATCAAACAAGTTCTTGGCAAGTCTTAATCAAATTTGTTCTTTTATTATAATTATGACTGATACAATTTTTTCCTATCCGTGTTTTTTTTTTTTTTTGAATTACTTTCTTTATCTAATATGTTTGGTTCCATCGTTTGTTGTATATGTTAGAAGTCCTTCCTTGAATCTCCAATTTAGTTTGAACCCTTCAGACTGCAGCCCTATTCCTACATAGTGCCGAATGTTTTTGTTAATGTAGTTACCGATTTTAAGGCAACCAATTATGTTGAGCTGGTAATTGAATAGTTCAAGTGTTTTCACAAATGTACTTACTGATTTTAGGCAAACAAGTTTGTTTATCTGGTAATTGAATAATGTATAGATCAGACACTACCATCCTGTGCTACCTGAGCTTATTCTTCCATGTGAGATAACCTTTGATTTTTAGAAGTTGAAAAACAGAGTGGTTGTTCCATATTCTTTACTTTCAAGTCAGATTTTGACTTAACTAATGTTTTCTTACAATTTTTTTGGCAGTTTTGACAAGGGTTCTAACTCTTGGTGAAGGCAAACATGATTTACACAACCATAGATACATTTTATCTGACGGACGAGGAATTGAAAAACTCACCTTCTAGTAAAGATGGTATTGATGAAGCAACTGAAACTACACTCAGAATCTACGGCTGTGATCTGATTCAAGAAAGCGGCATATTACTTAAATTGTATCCTTTTTTATATGTTCTGCTCTCTTCGTCTTCAGTATTTCTCTTGCTTTTAATATGATTTCTTTACATGTCGTCGATGTTGGAAATAACGATTCATTTTTCTTGTTTCCTAATATATATATTGCTATTGCCCTTTTAAGGGTTGAGTGGTAAAGGGATTTTGTTGGTTATTTTAGGAAATCGGGTTTCATTGTATATTGTCTTTCTTCTTTTCCTTATCTATTTTCTCAGACCTCAGGCTGTTATGGCTACTGGTCAGGTCCTATTTCATCGTTTCTACTGCAAGAAATCATTTGCTCGATTTAATGTAAAGGTATCTTGTTTACGCTTTGTATATTTTTTAGAGTCGAGTTCTGTAATTCTAATCTATTAAGATTCTAAACCAATAGTTACTTGCAGAGAGTTGCTGCCAGTTGTGTTTGGCTTGCTTCAAAACTTGAAGAAAGTCCCAGAAAAGCAAGACAGGTTCTCAATGTTTTCCACAGGATGGAATGTAGGAGAGAGAATTTGCCGATACAGCATTTGGACATATATTCCACGGTAATTTCTAGATTTTTTTTTTATTTTATTTTTCAAGGATATTTTTTCAAAAATGCATGTTATCATAATTTTCCCCTGCTTTGTATTAATATAATCCTCATTTTGATCTTCTGTTCTTGCTCAGTCAATCTGAACTTGATATTGCTGCTAATTAATGGTAGCCCAATTATATTTTGATATCATTGACCAATTTAGGTTGTGACCTGGATTCTTGGGTTTCGTTCTTTGTCAGAGATACGTGAATCTTAAAGCAGATTTGATCAAAACGGAAAGGCATCTTTTGAAAGAGATGGGTTTTATCTGCCATGTTGAGCATCCTCACAAATTTATATCTAATTACCTTGCCACATTGGAGACACCTCCAGAACTCAGACAAGAAGCTTGGAATCTTGCAAATGACAGGTAATATTATCGAGCAAAGATACACAAGTTTGTGCATTCTTTTGTTGGTAATCCATGTGCTACTATGTAACTGGTGTATATGGCTTGCTATACTTTTATTGAAAACTTGAGTCTCTTTTAAATACTTCTAGGTGATGATAGTCATCACCAACCAGGTGAAAATGCATCTAAAATTGGGCCATAGGATATGCCCCTTCAACCAGGATTATAGTGCACGCTTTGCTGAGAAGTAAAATTGTCAAGATTATAAGCACTGTAAATGCATTTAGCAGATTTATTATGAGCTTCCGTAACCAAATTTTTGGAGCCAATAACCTTGTGTGAGATTAAAAGCATTTTCTGGTCCTGCATTTTATATTTTTTTTGCCCCTTCTGATCTATATTTTTTTACTTCTTATGTGAACAGTCTGCGGACAACCTTGTGTGTGAGATTTAAAAGCGAGGTTGTGGCATGTGGTGTCATATATGCTGCAGCACGTAGATTTCAAGTGCCACTACCGGAGAATCCCCCGTGGTGGAAAGCATTTGATGCTGACAAATCTGGCATTGATGAAGTTTGTAGGGTGTTGGCCAAGTTGTACGCGCTTCCAAAAGCCCAATATATACCTGTTTGCAAGGAAGGAGGTTCATTTGCCACATCTAATCAAACACGGGATTCACCGCATCCCTCAGTTTCAAAGGTGAAGACACCACTCTATACTTAAAAAGAAAATTTCCTCGTGTTCTCATGTGTTGGTAACTTTGTATGTTATTTTCCTTGCCACCTGTGAACCATATTGGATTTCTACCTTAGCCAATTGCTAACCGATATTATCTGTTTAGGAAATAATAATGCTTATGTCTTTTTTACATTCACTTAATTTATTTTGTTAAATCAAAGTAGTATCCAATATTATCCCCTTATTGACCTATACTAAGGGTCCGCCTTCATTTATGTTCGGGCAATTTTAGCATACTCAATTTTGTATTGTTGGCTTTTGCTCAGGAGGTAACCCCGAATGAAGCTGGTAATAAGGGCGAAGGGGTCAAAGCTGCTCTCGACAAATTGAAGGAGTCGAAGAAAAGTGATGACGAATCCAAAAGTGTGACCAATGGTGGGGAGTCCAGAGAGGAATCCGAATTGAAATTGATGTCGGACAACAGAACAGAAATTAAGGAGAGAGAAAAAGATAGGGAAAGGGGAAGAGAGAGAAGTAGGAGCAAAGATGTGCGGGACCCTGACAGGGAGCGAGGTAAGGAAGATCATGAGAGAGACAGAGACAAAGTTAAGGAAAGGAGTCATCGTTCCAGGGACAAAGGAAAAGATTCTGGTATGATAAGGGCTTCTGATAGCTGCTGAACCTTTTTTTTTTCTTGCAATTACGAGGTCTTTCTAATATTTTCCTTTCACCTTATATGATATTTACCGCCAAAATATCATTATGCAGGACGAACGGAGAAGTCCAGGCATCATTCATCTAGAGGTATATTTCCTTTTGTTTTTTTTTTTTTGTTTTTTTGTTTTTTCCTACCTCGTTGTTTTGAAACTTGAATAATTTTCTACATAAATGCTGATTTCTATAAATTAGCTCATGAAGACTCTTTTCTTAGCCAGATCGCGACTACTACGGGTCATCTTATTCATCAAGAGAGAGAGAACGTCGAAAACATTACTAGTATGCTGGAACCAGTTGGACAAAGAGCTTTCCTGTTATACAATAGTCCATGAGTATCAGTAGCATATTACTTTGCCGAAATACCAGAAAATGGTAATAATCTTTGTAGAAAACTGAATTGTTCGATTGAGATAATCCACAAAGGGATGCGATTTGTTTCGAGGATCTTGTGGTCTCGAAAATCTTGTGGTCTCGTAACCTCTGATGATGTCTATGTATGTTACTTGACTTTGCTTGAGATTAATGAGCTAAAAATGATCTGATGTGTTCATAAAATCAATCATCGATTTTAACTATTATTAAAATTTATCTAATTCTAATGGACACCTGTGACAAACAATTAATAAAAACATCCAACACTAAACCTCTTTGTTGCAAAAGTCAGACAAACCTTCATGTTTCAGATAACAATCTTAAACAAATCATGGCCCTAAGGCATAGACAAAAGAAATGAGCAGTTACTAGATTAGTACAGTTGATTAACCTAATCAAAGATGAATCAAATCCTTAATTAAATCATCACTACAGCTGATTAACCTAGTCAAAGATGAACCATTCCTACTAAAATCATCACTACGTAACGGTCCGGCTTCTTTTATGTTTCCCCAATGAGCTTAATTAAACTTACAAATCCTGGGAAAAAAATGAAGGTACAACTGATCAACTTTCAATTTCTCCATTATAGTTTTTTTCTTTATCTAAATTTGCTGAAACCATTTTCAAGAAGTAGACTTCAACAGGTACCATGAAAGAGACACAGATCAATCTTAGGCCCATATGCTGGTGTGCAGATAGCAGTAACTAACTGTCTAGTTGAAGGTCGGCAATTTTGTCCTCTCGCAAAGTTGCACAAAACCTGACCGATGGACGGATAGTATTTCAATGTCTACTTTCTAGAGGCAAAAATATAATTTCCACAGATAGCTAAAAATATTTTACGGGCGTTAAGACATTACTTGACCTGCACGTACTAAGGAGATTGAATTCAAACTGCATTTTTCCTAATACTACTCTGTCCTCAAGATGATCTCCGCAGCTCAAACTTCTCCCGATCAATCTCTTCCAAATCCACATAATCTTTCGGTTCAGTACTCGTACCCTCGGATAACACGGATTTACCCCTTTCCCTTTTCTCACCCAATTTTGGTGACATACAATGAACTCCAGGGCCTTCTTCCCCATGCACAACTTTTCCTTTGCCAGGGTAAAATAAGTGATCGGGATTCAAAGGTAAAGCAGCAGGGTCGAGTTCAAAGGCACCTTTTGGCACCCCTTCCCTTTCAAGGCCAGTCATCTTGAAACAGGGAACACAGTGGGAAAACCTGTACAGCTCACTGGGCACTATCACAAATAAGCCCTTCTCATCTTGGCTAGCTCTCTGAAAAAGGCTCACAAATCCATCAATTTTGTCCAAGTAACCAACTTTTATCCCATAACCCTCCACGAAATCCGAGAGAACCTCAACAATCTCGTATTTGAAAATTTTTTTATGATTGTTCGGGTCGGCACTCCAGCTTATGTCCCAATCCTTGAAGATAGCCCAAACCTCACCTTCCCTTGGGTACAACAACAAAGAGCCTCTTTTCTTTCCTTTCTCAACATGAACACGATGAGAGAAGGATAGGCGAGCCGCTTTTTCGGTATGGCAGAGTTTAAAACTGCCACAGCCGACAGGCAACTCCTGGTCCACCCACTCCACATACAATTCGTTTATAGGCACAGCCTCCAGCCACGTGATGCTCAGTTCGAACGGGGAATAATATACTTTCTTCACCTTGGCGTAAAATCTCGGCAAATCGTCCAAAGTGTCGTAACAGGCCCAGAGTTGGCCGACTTCAAACTGGCTTTCCTCCCGCGCTTTATCAAAATCGCTAAATTCCGGGTCAGGACATTCTATATTCACAACATCGCTGGAATCTTCATCCCAGTCGCTTTCTATCTCGACTCCATCAAAACTGTTGTTTGATTTTCCACAGGTTTCTTCTCCCACCTTGGTTTTTTCAACTGATTCCACATCTTCTTCATCGCGCAAGATTTCTTCACGACGATAGCTTGCAACATCTGGAGAACTATTACGATGAACCTTCTTGGGATTTTCACTTGCATTATTCTCTTTGGCAGTCTGTGATTTATTGAGAGGGGGATCAGTATGATCATGGACCTCGGTCTCGTTATGCAAGACATGTTGCTTCTTCTTTAATGGTTTATGCGGGGGACACACTTCAACAGTTTCAAACTTGGAATCAGTTGCAAACTCATCAGCACTGCCTTTACTGGCCAAATCTTTGAAATCAGGTTCTATCGGGACATCACATCTCTCACTAGATTCCTTCCTGGCCCTCTTCCTGCTTTTGTTTTTCGGATCGTGCATTTCCTTGTAACTGGCATCACCATTAGCTGTTGCGACTTCCTGGTCACGATGTAAAGAGCTCGTATCCCTATTATCTGTTTCATTCACCTTCAAAATTTTGACATTCCTGGTGGCACCTGCTACCTTGATATCTTCTGAAGGTGTACCCTTCTGGACATACGTTTCTGGCTTAACATTTTCTCTTCTGGCGGCCGCTTGTGATTGTTCCTCGGATGCTGGAGACCCTTTGTCTTTCTGAAAGCCCATTTTTGAATTTCCTGTATTCGGGATGGATTTTTCGTGAACAGCAGCCGGCCGACTTGGGTCAGGTCTCGAGTGCACATTTTGAGCAGAACCCTGTGTTTTGGATTTGGTTCTTGACGGGTTGTCTGGAGACCCTTTGTCTTTCTGAAAGCCCATTTTACAATTTCCTGTATTCGGGACAGATTTTTCGTGAAAAGCAACCGGCCGACTTGGGTCAGGTCTCGAGTGCACATTTTTAGCAGCACCCTGTGTTTTGGATATGGAACTTGATGAGTTGTCTGGAACAGTCACCTCATAGGCCACGAAGACCTTTTTGCACCTGGGGCAGGTTATGTTTCTCTGGACATATTGTCTGGGGTATTGATATCTCATCTTGCAGAACGGGCAACACGTCCAGAACACCTGTGCCATGGGAGAAGAGTTTGAATTATTTGCTTGATGTTGGTCCATACCACTGTTATCTGGAACAGTCACCTCATAGGCCACGAAGACCTTTTTGCACCCGGGGCACTTTATGTTTCTCTGGACATATTGTCTGGGGTATTGATATCTCTTCTTGCAGAACGGGCAACACGTCCAGAACACCTGTGCTATAGGAGAAGAGTTTGAATTATTTGCTTGATGTTGGCCCATACCACTGTTATCATTAGAAACGTTATTCCCAGCACTGTATTGTTTGTTGTCCGGCGGGTTTTTGTCCAGGTGCGGATTTGCTGGAGCAGATAGAATGGCCGAGGATCTGAGCTTGCCGTCATATAGAGATTTCTTAACAGGATCCGATAAAATCATATTCGCCTCACCAATCAACTTAAAAGCACCCTCTGCACCGGGAAATCGGTTCTTGTCAGGATGGAGGATGAGTGCCAAACGGCGGTAATGTTTCTTGACTGTTAACACATCAGCCAGTTTATCAACTTGAAGGATTTCATACCAGTCCTTTTCCGAGCCTATTAGCCGCTTTTGAGCTGAACAGTGCACATCACATATGCTTAGCATCCGGTTAATGTTTTCGAGTTCCGGGTAAAGATTTTTTGCTTTGAGGGCCATCCTACGAGCAGCTTCAAAGTCAGTTTTCTCCATCTTCTTCTCGGCAATTTCCATGGCCCGGACGGCCTCATCTTTGTTGCATTCCATTACCAGAATATGTTTGAACAGAAGTTTCAGGGAGTCAATTAACCCTAATCAGTCGTGAGTTTTCCTAACTGCAACAAAAATCAGCAAGCTATACATCAATGAGATTTATTAAAAAGCCCAATCAAGGTAACTTCCCTAATCTTACTTTAATTAAATGCAATTGAATGATAAACAATCAAACGTAGTATGCGTATGAAGCAGAATAAACAATGCAAGCCGAGAAATTCCTGTCTAAAAATTTGCAGTAGGATTGAGCAAGCAGGACAAAATTTGCCTCCAATGCAAACCCTTTTGGCAGCCGAAGAATCATGATATGATCACAGAACAATCTAAGAGAAAATTGCTTTAACCATAATCCATAAGCCAACCATATATCTGACAGAAATAAACAAACGACTAAGAAGTAGGAAACATTAGAATGCAAAGCACTCGAGTATAATGAAGATAAATAAAAACACACATAATTAAACAGTAGAAAAATATCAATGTAAAATTAGCCATCTAGCCAAAACCTGTACAGTTAAAGCTTGCCGCAAAAATACCAAAGGCACAATCATAAACACCTCTGGATTGCAGTGGGACTACTTCTAAGCTTGTATATAGCATGAGACAAGGTGATAAGGTAGCAATTGGATATAGGATTTTTTTTTGAAACTGTAAGGATTACACTTGATGTGAAATAAAAATAACAAAATATAACTTGGTAATGATTGGTAGTTAGAAATACACGAGCGGGTGAATTTTTTTTGTTTGAAATAAATAATAATGATTAACTTTTATTTTTTTATATTGTGTTGGTGGAAAAAAAAAAAAAAAAAAAAAAAAAAAAAAAAAAAAAAAAGAGATGACATGCATAGTAAGCGAGTTGAAAATGTTATGTTTCGTTCACTGACTAGACAAAAGTGAAAAAAAAATTGTATAAATTCAATTGCGGTCTAAAGGCATTTCACCATTTTCGATTCATTCTTTATATATCATGATCCCGTTGCTATTCCTAATACTAGTCTACTAAATACTAGCAAAACCACGTCAGAAGTGAGCGAGGTCCAAGAGGAAAAGAAATTATCTAATTTTACAAAACAAAAATAAAATGCTGCGACAAGCATAAGATCGTCTTGTTGACAGAACTTAGATAAAATCTGTATAGTATGTCATATTTATAAACTTCCTCAATTCATTCCACCTGGCATTTTTCTTCCCAGTAGAGATTCTTTAGATCTCATTCAATTATACAAGGCATCACATAGAAAACAAAATTTTTGAGTATGTCAAGATCAATGAGGTAATAAAACCTCAATTGATCCAAATGACATGCACTAATGGGTTTCTTCCAAATGATTTTCTAGTTTACATCTAAGAAATTCGATAACACGTGGGAATTTGAACTCTGAAGGGTTAAGCCATGAGACAGACGAAAAAACTTCCTAACATTCGCTTCTCTTGCTGTAGGACTTATTTTAAAACTTCCATAAGGTTGCATACACATAAAACAATTTGAATATGCTGGTAGGTTATCGGGAAATAACTTCAAATGGTATACAATACGTATTGTTTGAAATCCTTCACTTCATGGATCGACGAAGACACTAATAAGCAAAAGATATGGTCCCAATAGGCCATCGGAAACAATGGAGTAACTGCAAATCCTCCAGAAAATATAAGTTACATGACAACTTTTATCTTGGCACTTACAAAGAAAAAAAAAACAAAAGCTTAAAAGCCCATCGAGGCCTTTCTCTAGAGCTCAACAAAGAAAGAAAGAAGCTATGTTTTTCCATGGTTTCTACTTCATCTTCACACAATTGTGCAACAGAATGAGGGAAAAACCCTACAGATGAAAATTCTATAAACGAACGACTGTGTAAACTCATCATATTCGGAACAAAATCGAGCATTTTCGCACTCAAAACTACAAAAAATATGAGTAAATTGCAGAAGATAATGAAGCAAAAACGTACCTGCAGCATTATTAACACCTTATCTCTGTCCGGAGAAGAAGATAAATAGAAGAACTCGTCAGCCAAAACAAAAAAACAAATGGACGAAGAGGAATGAAATGGAGCGAAGGAGAAGAGTGAAACACAGAATAAATCGGAACGGAAGAGCAGCAGAGAGGACGACGGGAACAGAAACACACCCTCAAATCCGCCAGAATTTCATTTGGCCCCAAAAGAACCTGTCCGGGTGTGTGTGCGACTCTGTACCATTTGCAAAGAGTGAAAATGAAAAAAAAGGGTTTTATGATTTTCAAACATGAGATAACATGGAACAATCTAGAATATGGGCTTGAATTGGGCTGGTCATTTGGCCCGGCCCAAATTTATTTATTGGTCAAATTTGCTTAGTTATGAAATTAATTTAAAGAATTCATGAAACTTATTTAGTAAATAAACTAATTGTTGATCCCCGAGTTGAAGAACTGGCCCATCAAAGAGAAAAAGCTAATTCGCGCCCAGTGAGCCGAGCAGGGTCCGCAGATCGACCATCGAACAGAAAAGAGTCGAGCCGTCAGGCAGCAGCGAGGCTAAGACAAAGACATGGACATTTACCCGAGCTGGATTGGCAGACCCGACCAAAAGGCCGCAATTAAATAAAGGCAAATTGCTGCCTAATGATGAGAAATCACATCTCCCCCAGCTAACATGTCGACAAGTCAGTCCTAGATTTGTAGGGTAGCATGACGCATTAAATGCACATGTCCAATCAATTAAATGTACGTTGTACGACCCGATGAACAATTTATGGGATACGGTTACTATAAGTACCTTTGTAATAGGTCCAAAAAAGGAGATAAAAAACAACTCAACACACGAGATATGAACTGTCGTCGTATATACTTAGGGACAAATTAGTTTGACCTATAATATGATTGGCCGACCTAGGCCACAATGATACTATTCTATTCTTGAATTGATCTTCATTTCTTTCCGTCCGATTCACCCCACGACAAAAAAGTATATCAATCTTCATTAAGCACCTTTAAATCCAATTCAAATCTCCCTTTAATTTTTGATTAACCATTGATCGAAAACGTTCATCAATAGTTTGACGCTAGAAAGAGGACTCCATATATTATTTGGAGTCAATTTTCACCTTATGAACACCACTACAACTTTTTCCTTTCTTTTTCCCACCAAAATCATCGAGAAACGACATCATCCAACAATCGAAGTCAAAGCCTCAACAGTGAGCCTCAACAGTGAAGACCTTGAAGACCCCGACACAAAACATAATTAAGACGCCGGAGAAACATAAACATGCAGTGGTAGCAATGAAGACCTTGAAGACTCCAACGCAAAATATAACTAAGACGCTGGAGAAACCTAAAAATGCAGAGGTAAAAGTGAAGACTTTGAAGATTTCAGCGCAACACATATCCGAAACGCTAAAGAAACCAAGAATCCATCAGTAGCAGCAAAGACCTCGAAGACTCCGAGGCAACACATATCCAAAATGCTGGAGAAGCCCAAAGATACATCGGCAGCAGCAAGGATCACGAAGACCCAGACGTCGAATGCCTGAAACATCAACACGCGCACTGTTGGAGGCCCAGGAAAAACTCTGGCCCAATCAAAAGCAACCTAGTTACCAAGATACACGCCAAAAACATGGCGAGTGACAGTTAAACGAACCTAAACAAGAGGTGTTGGGGAATATAGGTTGGTCGCATGTCTTTGGGCTAAGACACCGATGTTGTCGATCGACTGTGGCGACCGACAAGATTATTGTTTCTCCAAAAAAATTTATTGAGAATTGTATAGTAGGATTACAACCATAAGAAAATTGCGTGAGTGATGTTGTGAGGATATAATGATGTGGTGATGTTATGTTGATGAATGAGTGATCAATCTATTTTCTATTAGTAATCAATATTTGAGGACGACTGAAAGTTATTGTCTTAAGGAGACGTCTCACTGCAATGGGGTTACGAGAAACGAGGCTTTCTGCCAAGCCCGCCAGGAGTGGCGCTCTTGAAACGTTCTAATCCCATACGAGAAAGAGCAAAATTTTAAAGGGGAATGAACATAAAGTGATCTTCCATGTCCCAGAGGTCTCCCTATGACAACTAATATCCTTTAGAATCGGATGAGGTCGGTATTTATACACGAAAAAAGGTGAAGGAGCATTAAATGCTAGGCATCAGCTAGGGTTATAGGGTGGCGCCGCATGTATCCATGTAGTGCTTGATAGGACAAATTGGATGGTGTCATCAGTTTTATCAGTTCACTGTTCATAATACAAGTGATCGTCAATCTTCCTTGAGAAGACTCCAAGGGCGATTGGCTGGCCGCTCGGGGGATCGACAAACCCAGCCTTGCGATCTTGGGCCATTTATGAGAAGGTCTGTATGCTTCATGGGCCTTCTTTAGTATGTTGGGTTGCGCCTTTTGAGGACTTATGTGTTTAGATATCTTTTAGGTACAACAAGCCATATTTAAGAATGTGGACTGTAGACATCAGCCACGATAATATGGAAATTTATAGTATAATTATGGAGATTAAAAATAACGATTTTCAGTGTTCACAGGGAGATTAAGGTGTTTATGGCTTGTAAACTAATGTTGAAGCGAATAAAGAGATCGTCGATCTAAAATAAGAGACCGTCGACACATAAAAGAAGAGGAACAATTAGTGTTTATTAAAGGAATTTTTGCCTCCTATCTTTGTTACAACACTCAAAGGCTAAATAATTGTACAAAAAAGGTAGGTGAATAATCATTATTACTAGCCAGCTAATGGTGTAGGGGAGTGACACGAATCTCCATGCATAACTCGACTTTTTATGATGGGACCGACTGAGTAGTCACTTTGTCAAATTCGTTCTGTCACACTACAGAGAAAAATGTCGAATTTTATTTAATTTAGTGGCAACATTTATTTTATTATGCTTAAAATTGACATGTTTTTATGAAATTGTTATTTAATAAATATATAGATTGTTTTATTTATGATTTTCAAAAACAAATTAATAAATAAAAAATATTAATAATTATTTCTAAAATATAGACAACACTAAAAAAGTTAGACTAGATTGAGTTTTCCATAGGGTTTGAAAGTATACATAAAAATTATCATATGTACTATTGTAAACAAACTCACATTTTTTCTTTTTTATGAATTGAATCATGTCGTTTGGTTTGCTATATTTAATTAAAATAACATAACTTATAACTATCCTTTGATTTAAATAATATTTAAGCTTGATTTATTTAATGTAAATAATATAATTTCTAATTTCATTTAATATAAATAATAGTTCAAATCACTACAAATATTTCCAATGTGATGATGATAAAAATTTAAAAAAAATAAATAAATACTACTCATTTAACAATTATACTGTTTGATTTTTCTACCCTAAATTGAAAATTTTGAATACACTCAAAGAAAGATTTCTCAATATAATTTTATTTTTTTACATAAAAAATTCTTCAATTGTAAATTATGTTCATGTTGTCCAGTACTAAATTTATAAATTAATTTTAATATTAAGATAATATTTATTTTTATAAAATTAGTTTTTAATAATAATTTATTTCACAATAACTATAATAAATAATTAAAAAAATTTAATATTGTTATTCCACATTAAAGAATCTTGAATAGCTATAAAATGGGGGATCTTGAAAGTTGAAATTGCTCTTTCAGATTTGCCCATCCGCCTCTCTTTGTAGTTCCTTATTTGGCTCGTATCTGTCTCACCAAAATCTCCTCCGGCGGCCGGAATCTATGGCACCACCGTCCTCCGATCCGTCTCAACGGTACGTGCTCTCTTTCTCTTTCCTTATATCCGTCACTTGACTGATTTGAACCACCTAATTTCTCTCTGAAGCGACGTCGTCAGGAGGCAAAACAAAAGTGCTCCGTTCAAATTTCTACTTCCGTTGGTCTATGCTCCTGTTCTTCCTCTTAGTAAGTTTATTTTTCATTTATCTCTCATTTCTTAGTTAATAGCTGGCGGCAAAGATCGATTGTTAGTTACACTTTCATGGCTTTTGTATGTTTTCTGTATGTGCCTTTTGATGGCTTTATTTTTCCATCAGTTCGGATTACGCTCCGGCACAGGCCGGTTTTGAGGGATCGAGTGTTCACCGGTGTCTTGGCAGGAGCATTTGTTCATGGATTTTACCTGGTGTATCCTTTTAGAGTGCATTGTGGATTAATTATGGATGGGTGTAATTAATTTGTGCACTTTATCATTCTAGTGTAATCATGGTTAATTTGTTATGGCTAATTCTAGCTGAAGGATTGATTTGCTAATGTCACGTCAAAACTTTTGATTACGGTTATTGTAAACGGGTGTTTCTTTGTTGACAAAACTTGAATTCTATGCCCAGATTGATTAATAGCTAAAAGCAGAAACAAAGGCTGCTAGAGTTAACTATCGTAGCTGGTGTTTTAACACATGATAAATATCTTAGCTGTTGTTTTAATTAAGTGGTGTGTGGGACATATGTGTGTTTACTCAGGTAACTGTAATGCCCTTTTCAATAGCTAGTCTTTGACCATCTTCCTCTACTCTGCTTTGTTCTTTATTAAGTCGGTAATTTCATTTGCATATTGTATAATTCATTATGGCTCAAGTTCTTGTGTGTCTTGCTTCTTAGCCTTGCCTCGTCAGCTAGATTCACCAACTTTGAATGAAATAACTATTTCCCTGAGGGCACTTCTTGTCATGTATAGCAAACGAGTGAACTAACCTGTGCTATATGAAGGGACTAGTCATTGTGGTAGTTTGGCGAAGTATGTCAAGAACATTTTACTTAGTTTAGTTTATGGGGCTCTTGTTATTTTAGAATTATGGCGCTAAAGAGAAGTACACCTAACCAATGCACCTTTCGTCGACTGAGGCTTTTGCTGTTTTCAAGATAAAGAAAAGCTTCGGTTGTTTTGTCTAAAAGCTTGCAATCCATGATTAAAAAATCTAGTGACTGAGACTATTATAGGGCGTTGTGAATGAACTAGGATACCTTCTTCGTGGAAGATAGCAATATTCCTACCTCATCATGGAGTGAAGTGGGTTTCTTAGAGGCCATGATTCTGAAGTTAGAATCTTCATCTCTACTTAACTTGGTCGAGCTTTACAACTCGGGGCTTGCCTCGCATAGTTTATGTGGTTGGTGAAATTTGCATGCAATAACGTCAAATCTGAAGAGAAATTACCCAGTGAGCCTACGAAGGATAGCAAGGT